TATATATATATGTATGTATATGTAGATTTACAGCTTCACTATGGTTTCAGGATGAAGGTTTCTGAGCCCTAAAACTAAAAAATCGAAACAGCACTGACACTTCGAACCGCCCCCAAATCCGTGCCTTTAGGCCAAAACCCCCAAAAGGAAACCCCGAACCAAATACCCCCACGACCACAAAACATGAAACCCCACATCCGAGACCATCTACACTCGATACAACAAGGCACCGCCACCTTGCACGTGCCAACGGTGCAAACACCCGGAAACGAAAAAACCCTCCGAAGCGAAACCCGTAGTCATCTGGGAGCCTTCGAATCAGCAAACATTCCGCATCGATCGATCTATTGAAGATATATGTTCTGATTATGTAGGGGGATAGAAGCGCGACGCGATTGTTCAGGCCCTATGTTAAGCCTTTCACCACAAAACCCCCCAAAACATGGCACCTCAGCGGGGTCGGTGTTGCCACATGATGACAAGGCAAAGCAGGCGCGAGAAGCATGCAGGGGCGGCCGCGGCGTCCGTCGTGGGGGGTTAGGTTCTTGGGGCCTCAGGTTGTTGAAGTCAATGTTCAGGGTGTAGGGTTTAGGGTTTGGGGGTCAGTGCTTGCTTGCTTTGGGCTTCATCTTCTGTGGGATCTAAATAGCCGCTCATGCTTCAAGAGCTCATCTTCGGGCTCCGGTGCCGAAATGACTACGTAATCCTTCTGCACGCCGTGGCTGCCTAGGTTTATATACGTCTTGCAATGACTGGCTTTGTTCCGAAATCCCAAACCCATGTGCCCACCCAAAGCCTGAAATCCTGCCTGCACTCCTCCGCAATTGACGTCTTCGAAAGGCTGCGGGGAAGAGCTGCACCATGTCCAAGACATGTTCAAGCTCTCGAGATCTCTCAAGTACGTGGCGCCATGTGTACGAAGAAGACCATTTGGAGTTGTATTGCTGATGCATGACCGCAGCAGGTATCGTCGCTCACAACCAACCCCCAGTTCAGATTTTACGAGGCGCCGGAAACTTGTCACGGACGGAAGCTATGTGATGAACTCCGTGGTTTCCCCCTAAACTTAATTCGGCAACATCTGTTTGAACCGGGCAGCGCAACTCAGAGACAATTTCAAGCCTTAGGTGGCATGCTTGTACTACAGACGATGAGAACATCTGACTACTGCGGGTTCAAGACACAGCCGTGCAACTTAAAGTAGCATCCCCGGTGCTGAACTGCCACCGGCTTGTAAAACCTCCGTCGTCGACTCTCAAAGAGCTGTGAGTGAAAGCCAAAACCCCTAAACCCTTTTGAATCCAGGACTCTTGCAAGCACCCCTAAACCCTAAACCCCTAAATCCCTAAATCCCTAAACCCTAAATGCTAAATCCCTAAACCCTAAACCCCTAAATCCTAAATCCCTAAACCCTACACCCAAAGCAGAAGCCGGAGCCTCAATCTCCAACCCCTCACATGCCTTTCGCGGTTTTGCATCCCCCAACAAGCCTCTGGTCCCGACGCTTCTAGGCAGCCCTGAAAGGAACCCTTACTGTGTGGTAGGCACAGAGTTGCCCGAAGAGGAACCCCAAAGGAACCTCCAATGCTGGGCTGTTGCGGACCCTAAACCAAAACCCTGAACCCTAAACCCCTAAACCCGAAACCCCAAACCCGAAACCGGAAGAGCCGCTGCCTCCTTCCCGACGGAGAGCTTCGACCACGGCCTCTGCTATTCCGACTTGAGCGCGGCGGCAAGTCTCACTGTGGGGGATATAGGGGTTTGGAGTTTAGGGGTTGAGGGATATAAACCGGCATGATAGCTCTTAGTACAGCTTTCCTACTCTTGTACTGTGTAGGTCTAGGTACTCAGAGCCCTTTGGGAAAGAGTGTGAGGCATGAGGGTTCAGGATTTTGACGGCTGATGAGTAGCAACACTTTTTGGACTACGGCGCCTCAAAACCGAAAAACCTCGTATGACTAGATCCTGTACCTGCAGAAGCAAGCGCTGAAGCACGTGCACTCAAACTCGAAGCCCTCCGTCGTCAAGCCTACAGCCCAAACCTAAACCCTGACCGAAACATTTCCTGCCCCCAGCCTTTATCAACAACTTCCAAAACAGACCGAGCTCTAAGCTCTGCACTTCAACTCTTGCTGAACCCTCGGCCCGCAAACACTGCAAAAAGTCCGCGAGTTTGCGGCTTTGGGGAACTGATCTGGCTTGAGCGAAGCTTTGGGCACAAGCCTGCCACGAAAGTGCTGGGAGTCTTATGGAAGCCAGTAGCTTGGCTCTGGGGTAGTGGAAAGTTGGGAGAAGTCCTCCAGAGTTGGGGTTACGTACCTAGTAATGACCTCTCGTAATTAGCTACGAACTGCCAGGCATTCTAGCCCAGCTTGGGTTGGGTACTAGGCCTCTTGGGCTTGGTGAGGTCTGGCTTCGGAGGTGAGGCTGCTCTTCGGCAGGTTGCTTTGCTTCTTTTTAGTGAGGGGGGTGGCGGGGTAGGGGAGGGGGGGGCGGTTTTAAAGTGGCTGACCGCAAAGGCCTGCAAACCTGGTTTAATGCATCAAGTGCATCAAGACAACTTACCCAGTCATGCCCAGAGGCTGCCTAACCTTCCGCAGCCACTCACCACTCTCTTAAAACTCGGTCCCTAAACCCTAGACACGACCACACCTCGATGTAAGGTAGGGCTTTAGTACTTAGAATAGGGTTCCTTTCAAGGGCAAAGGTTACTATAAGGGTTATAAAGGTTTAGGGTAGAAGCCAGAAAATTGGAACATGATTACCCTCATGTCCCTAAGCTAAAGTATAAGGGAATCTAGCACTAATCGTCCTAAACCCATGTTCCAACTTTCTGGGATTTGCTGTAGTGTACGGGCCTTAATAATTAGAATAGGGTGTTGGGGTGTAGTCGGACTTGAAGTCTGTTCGACAAGCTGGTTGGCATCAGAGCTGTGCTGACGCGCTTAATGGACTGAGCCTGACTATTGCAAGCAATCACAAAAAAGGCCTGGAGCTCTTCGCGCCATTTCTTAATTAATAGGGGCCCTTGCCTCGACCATGCCCAACAGCAGTGCCGGAAGCAGGCGGCTGGCCCGCACGGTTCTTTGTTCCTCCTCCCCTGTTCGCAGAAGTGGCAGCTCTACGAGACCAGGAGCGACGATCAAGTTGTTCGGCTTCTTCCCATGTATTTGGATACACGGCCTCACGAGCTGGTCGCTGCCTGCCCAGCTCAGCGTGCATTCCCCCTTTTCCAGCAGACGAAGTGGCAGCACCACCAGGTAGAGGGCAACTTGAAATGTCCACGCATTCTGCTTCTTCCCAAGTGGTTGGCTGCACTGCGGCTGACTGCTGCCTGCCCAGCACAGTGCCTATCATGCGATTTGTCATCTCTGCATCTCCCTTGTCTGAAATCTTGCGCTTCCCACAGGCAACGGTACAGACTTGTCACTTGTAAGTGTCGCAGCTGGTGTAGCCACGACCACGTCATTGCATTGAGCAGGGTCCGCAGCAGCCGCCGTAGCTTTGGACTTACGCCGTTGGCGCTTAGCCTTCCTCTTAGCAGCGCGAACCGCACGAAGGTGCAACACCAACTGTTCTTCACGAGCACCACCATCGGCGCTCGGAGCTTCAGCGGGCATCCCAGTGTCCGTAGCAGGTGGGGCCACGGGTGACGTAGGCCGTAAGAGAACGGCTGTCACCGCTGCAGCAACCGACTGTACGGTCCGCCTGGGCGCTCTCGCCAAAACAGCGGCACGAACAGCTGCTGCGAGCAGCGCAGCCGAGTTTGCCGCCATGGCTCCTATGGCCAGAGCTGGGAGCTACCCTGACCTGCAATCGCTCGAGCCCCTTAGAATAGGGTGTTGGGGTACGTTCTACTATAGTGATGATGAGGAACACCAAATGAGTATAGGTATTTATTAAGGCCGCTGTATTAGAATGCTACCATGAAGACCCATGACAGACTGACGGGCTTTGCAGCCTGAAAGATCCCCCCAGCCCTGCAAGAAATCCGCAGAGATGTCAAGACTTGCCATGAACGCCAAAACCGAGTCAAATCCATCAAACCTTTTTCGGGTTTAAGGTTTAGGGTTTAGGGCACCCTGAACCCTACTTGCCCCTCCGAAGTCCCACAAGAACTGCTGACTTTCACCTGAAGCTCTTGTTGTCGGAGGTCTGGATCTAGGCAACTTGGGCTTGCTCCGGCTTTGCGGCGGAGGGCTGTTTTAGGGCTGTAGACGCTCTCTCTCTAGGTACTATCGTTCGGGTCTAGGTTGGTGAAGCCTACTGTATGTAGTCTCATTGGGCTTGGGAACGTGAAGGTGCCGAGAGTTTCGGAGTCGCGGCCTCAGGGGCTTCTTGAATCAAAAGCCAAAAGAAGTCCAAGTAGAGCCCTCATCCGAAAGCCACCAACCTTCAAGCTCCTAAGTCCATGGCTTCAGGTCTTACTGAACCTGATAGTCAGGTGCTCTGTCATTTACATATTGCAAGGAAGGAAAGTCATGGAACATGAATCCGAAACCCTTCTTCGTGAAGCCTGGCAGGAGGATCCTGTACAATCCCCGAGCCCTTAACATCAAAATTGGACAGTCTTCACCTGAAGCATCCATGCCGAACACTTAAGTCCTCAAATGTCCAGTTCCAAGCGCTCATGCCTACATCCTCATTTCCGTCACCCCCGGCCTTAGCCGCCGTAAGGGTCCAGGGTTTAAAGCCCAACCTCTACAGTGGGCCTTGGGCCGAACAAAGGCCTGCAGCTCGAAGCCTCAGGGAGCCTGAGCCAAAGGCAGGGATGTAACAGCCATCCTCGGTGTCGATGACCATTCGCCTGCAGCGGGATTCGGATCGGTGGGGTGTAAGGCTAATTTCCCCTTGGGGTTTAGGTGTTGTTCGTTTCAGGTGTAGTTTTCTGTTGTTTTTGTTTTTTGGAGGGGGGGGGGGNNGGGGGTGCAGCTTTAAGGGTTTCGGGTTCCCGGCTTTGGGTAGACTGTTTAACAGTTTAAGTCTGAGGTTGAGGCCTAGCGTATGGCAGCAGCTCCACAGCTCGAGCGGCCAGCAGGGAGCATCAGATTTTCAGGGCATTGAACAACCTACCTATAATCTCCATTCTAGTTCCT